ATAATAATAATAATAATAATAATAATAATAATAATAATAATAATAATAATAATTTTGAGCCAAAACTATTTGAACAAGAACGAACAAATTTTTTTTTGTGTTCAGCTCGTTTATATATCAAACAAAAAAAAATATTCGTATTCGGCTCGTTAACTTATTGAACAAATCGAACACGAGCCTATTAACAAGTCAAACACGAACTGTGCACAAATAACGAGCCGTTTTGATAGCCTTACCAAAGATTGATTAAAGTCTAGACTAATACTCCCGGATGTGATCCCCCTATTACGGGGCGACAAGTACATCCACACACCGAAGTTGTAGCTTCGGAGATTATATAACTTTCCCACCGGTGGGACCATGAATTATATCTATAATCACCAATATATACTGGATCCGTTCAATTGGGTCATACCATTGTGGTTTTTTTTTTTTTTTTTGGTTTTTTCACGTACATGAGTGTGTGATGGGTTATTGCGCAAAGCTAAGGTTTTTTTTTGGTTTTTTCATATACCTCAATTACTCTACTATTGCAAATTCTTTTGCACGCATCAGTTCACACTCCTATTTATAAAGAAGAGGGTATAATATAATGACGTTACATATTTTCCCTTGTTTTATAGGGGCCTGCATTGAGGTATTTCTAGCATTTTACATGCATGTCAGCATGTCATCCATTTAATTTTTTGGCTCGACTGACTAAACTTAATCGACTTTGGGTCGACCGCCCACTTGAACGAGTCCTGCAGACGAGATGGAGGAACCTTATCTTCGTCATTTTGCTCCTCATCAAGGATGATGAGATTAGCCAAAACTGAAAACGCAACATCAGCATCACCTTCTTGAGTTATGGTCAGTTTGAGTTTCCAATCTATCAAAAACTTGGGAGGAGGAGGTATTGTTGCTTTCGTAAAGATGAAAAATAGAAAACACAATGTCATAAGTTTCAAAGATCGGATAATGATAATACGACCTTTTAAATTGAATCATCCCAAGGAAGTTCATCAAAAATAACAGCGGGAGTAACCTGCCCTGTCTTCTCCCTCTCCCCCGGCCTTTGTCTTTTAGGGTGAACCTCAACCAGAGCCATCTGAGGCATCAAGGCAACCACTCGATTAATTCGCTAATCAACCAACATACCTATATTCAAGCAGAACACAAAAAGATCACATTAAAACTTATTAATATCTCAAAACTTGGTCCACTTTCATTTCAGAAAGCTTCATGATGCTGGTTGACTTCAACTTGCCATATAAGTCAAAAGAATGATCTTCGCCGGGTCGTTCGGATCGACATGGACACCTCCCAACAGACCAACCTCTAATACGGGTGCTGCCGCCGCATCCTATGGAGCAGCTTCTCTCTTCTTGCTTAAGACAAGATTCATGATATTAATATCTTCCACAAGGGGCTCAGGAGGAATCCTTTGAGAAAAAGTCATAACTCCATGTAGTTGGCACTACACCTCGTCCAACTTGAGATAGGACAAACATAAGCAATCCAAAACACATCTTGAGATCATCGCAGATACCTTCATATTATCCCACGATCCGACTACCAAAGAACACCATAAAATTATGAAAAACTATTGTACATCTTAGCAATTACATATCATCATCAGAGTGCGCTAAATAACTAATAACCTGAGAAACAGGCAACTTTCGTTCTCTTATTCTTCTTCCAATAACCTGTTAAAGGAACTATAAAATCTAGAAACTAAATGTAAAAAAAAAAAAAAGCATTTGGGACCAAAACACACGCCTAATAGGCCTCATGGGTTTTGTAAGCCTATCAACTCAGAAGATATTTTCACCACCGGATTGATCTGCTGAGGCGATGAGCCGACCCTACTCGCTAATGTATTAGTTGTCATGTACCAGCTACCAAACTAACTTGGCAAACTGACCTATTGAATTTACCCGACAGTCTAATTAGGAGGTCTAACCTACTAGAATCACCTGACGGATTCACCTGATGAACTCACCTAGCAGAATGATCAATCAAACCTATCAGCCGAACTCGCCTCACAAGCGAACTCGCCTCACAAGTGATACTCAAAATTGACATAACGAAAAAAATTAAGACTGAAATAAAAGATTTGATATATGCCACATATTCAATTATGAACCATTTGACATCCACATTGAAATTTTGCATCAAGTCGTTCACAAAATTTTAAACTAGGACTCATATTTTAGCATTTTCCTCATATATAAAAAAGGGAAGATACCGTTTTAGGTTGGGCTCTCATACTGTAACTCTAAATTTTACTTATTTTCTCTTTCATTCTTTCTTTCTCTTTAGATAATCTCCTTCTCACTTTCAGGGGAAGGATCATCATAAAGGCATATAGTTCAAGCTTAGATAGCAGATCCACTATCTTCCTTCACCCTTCTTACGTAGATAGGGTTGTCAAAACGGCTCGTTGTTCGCGAACAATTCGTGTTTGACTCGTTAAGAAGCTCATGTTCGGCTCGTTTGCTAAGGTAACGAGCCGTACACGAACAAATATTTATTTGTTTGTGCTCGGCTCGTTTTGTCACGAAATACTACTAATCAATTATATATATATCTTTGATGAGTAGTATTTTTAAAAAAATTAATTGACTACAAGACTACAAAAATTTATAATCAATTAAAAATATTAATGAAGAAAATAGAATAAAAATTATCAATTTAGATTCAAATGATGTTTTAAATCTTGCCCCAATCCTTAACATTTTATGGCTTTGCGATTAGGGTTGTCAAAACGACTCTTTGTTTGTGAACAGCTCATATTCGGCTCTCTAAGCAAACGAGCCGAACACGAACACATTTTTTGAGCTCGAAATATAAACGGGCCGAACACGAGCGAGCCTCGTTTTCACCCCTATACATAGATTCACCCGGATTATATAAACTCACGAACAATATTAAACCCAACCACCTAAAAAATTTAACATGTCATTTTCAATTAGTTATACAGCCTGAAGAAATGTTAATTATGTTTTTATGAGCATAAAGTGATCCTTAATATATTATAACATAATACACCATAACTAGAGCACTGTAGCATGCATATATTAGAGCATACATTTGTGGTGATAACCTATGTAATAACATATTATAGTATTTTTTAGCAAGCAATAAAACACTGCCTTAAACCTACAATATCATACATAAAGTATTCAAAGGTTAAGAAACAAAATTTAACCAAATTTACGGCAAGTTCTTATTAAATTAGTCTTTTTAATACAAAGACGCCATTGATGAAACCGGTTCACATTTTTGGGTTTCTTATTATTAGCCCTTGCAATGCTGCCCTAAACTCAATCTGAACCCAAAGAGTTAACCCAAAACAAACAATTTTTGTATTGGGGTCTAACTTCAATTATCATGCCAAATCAAACCTTGACACCCAAAACATCACAAAGACTTTGATCACAATCGACATAAGAATACACTTAAAAAAATAAATAAAGGGTTTTTACATACAAACAACACAATTCTTAAGTATTTGCATATCTAACACCTAAGCTTTCATATTTACATTTATAACACTAAACTTTAGCATCACACCAAAAATATCATCATTATCAACTTTTAAGAACTGAAATACATCTTCTCATGCATATGCTTATGACACCAAAGTGTTACGAGTGTAAATATCAAACTTTAGATGTTAGATACATAAATACATAGCTGTGGTATGTATGTACATTTTCCAAATAAAATAAAAAAAAAAGTAGAATAAAATAAAAACATTTTTATGATGAATAAGCTCTTCATATTCACAACCATATGCAATAAGTTTAAGAAGTCAAAAACTGCACCCAACCCCAATATAATCTATTTATTACTTCCCTATCCAAGTTTAAGAAAAAATGGTAAAACCAGCCAAACGTTGAACTGTACATATAATAAAGATCAAGGAGCTGTATCAATTGCAGAGTAACGAGTCTCTTGTGGCATTCCCAGTCATTGGATTCACCCTGACCAAGTTCAGAGACCATTCTGATTTCAGTTTTAGATGGATAGGAACAACAATGGGGCAATTACGTTCAGACCACCCGAAACTTCCTATTTTCAAATCAACCACCTTTCGTCCTCCATTTTTCAATTTCTCACTCAAATATCAAAATTCATGATAAAACCCAACCCAAATTTTCATTCTTATCAAATTCTCAAAAGTTAGATCGTGGCATGCGTAAATACATTGGTTTGGTTATTCAAAAAAATCACCTGGGTGGTTAATTTGTGAATATCAATGTTTCGGGTGATTTGTATGTAATTATCCACAACACGGCCAAGAAAATGATGATGTGTTTAGAAACTATTACCCATCAGCAACTCTGCAGAGGTATTCTCGTTGGTCATCTCTCAGTGGAACATCAGTGAAGTCTGTGAAGTAAAAATAATAACCGAGTAATATATTTCCCTCATTTGGTTTTAATTTGATACTTTTGATTTTAAGATGGCAAACAAGTGATAATAAGAAGGGAGGAACTAAAAGCAAATATTTGCATTTGCATACATACCGCCCAACTCCAATATATTTATCTATCCAACACCTAAAATTTAATTTTTTACATTTATAATTTTATAACACCCACCATTTTTTATATCACATAATTTTTTATATCACATAAAAAATATAATCATTTTAACTTTTAAAAAGTGAAATACACATTTTCATGTATAGATAAGGTGTCATGTACATAAAAATTAAAGTTTAGGTGTTATATCACCATTTTAAGTTTAAAAAAAGTGAAATACACCTTTTCATGCATGCATAGGTAAGGTGGCATGTACATAAACATTAAAGTTTAGGTGTTAGATGTGTAAATAACAACATTTTAACAGTCTCCGTCTCTTAGACGGTGGGATTTGGACTTAAAAGGCTTTTGTCCGGGCTGAAGCAGGAATTTTGACTCCAGTTTTGTTTGATTTTGTGATTTATGTTACAGAGAATAGCAGGGTTCTCTGGGGCTTGAAATATCTGGGACTTAAAGAGCCGCGCGCGAACGTGCGGCTTCGATTTTATTCTGAATGAGTTGAACTATGGCTATTCCTTTTCAAGCTGGGGAGCTTGCAACGGTTAAAGGTGCATGCTGTTATGCAGGGTGTGATTTTGATACAAATCAATATGATTTTTTACAAAAATTAGGGTAAACAAAATATTTTTCTTCACTAACACAAAACAATACAACTAAAATACATAAAAATAAGCACCTAAAATTCGAAAGGTGATGATCTCTCTCAACACCTACAATTTGAGAGGTAGGCGATCTATTCTGAACTCTAAACCTAAAAGTTAAGACCACAATCTCATGCATAACCTAACCCTAACCTTTTAAGCCCTATCCAAACAATAATAAAAAGCAAAAAGTTAAATTGTCCATAGGCACCGATGTGACATTACTCCCCTCCCAAAAAAATGCTCGTCCTCATGGTGGAAGAGAAAAAAATGTTGGATCCAATAACATGGCTCCCTTTGTGGCGTCATCATCTGACAATCATTTCTATTTAATAAAAAATTTGTAGGGATCCTCATGAGTTCGAAATACAATCTTGTACACATCCTTCGGCCTTATCTGAATATATTGGTACCTAACTTCAAATCAATCTGGGAAAATAACACAACACCAAACAACTCATCTACTAGCTCATTGATCACTGGAATCTCTGTTAACTCCCTATCATGTGTCCCTTCCAAACTATACAACTCGATCCAAAACCCAAGACTTGTATCCTTAATTTCCCTCATCTTGGTCTTGAGCTTTACCAAAGTCTTGCACAAACTGGGGTCACCGTGAAGCACCACCATCTTGCCTTCCTCCTGAATACTCTGCAATGTCAAAATTCGTCCATTACACTCTCTCATGCTTTTCTTCGCATGTCTCGTACCCATAATTACTATTGAATCGTCTTCCGCAAGAAAGGTTGCAGCGACGAAATGCACTGACACATTTGGATGCCGCCCTCCGTCGTGGTCCCACGTACCTTGGTTCCATGTTTGAGGCAAAAATTCTCGGAATCAATCTTCTCCAACCCCAAAGCGCACGTCCTCCCAATTCCCACTCCCGACTCCTTCACTCCATCCCGCCTGCTTCTATTTGTTCCAACCAACAAAATATCATGATACTCTTTCCAAGTGTTGTTGTTCAAGTCTGCTCGTGATTCCTTCACTCGATCCCATGACTCCAGATCCGACTAAAGAAGCTAAGCTGCCCTGATGCTGACAAATCCTTCAGATTGCTACTGCTCGTGTCCGCTCCATATGTCGTCGCTTGATCAAACGTCGGGCAGAGGCAATTTTGTGTGACACTCCACGATATTTCTCATCATTTCTTCCAAAGTTGTGAATGTCCCCTGAGAGTCGCCCGCCATAGATGAGAGACGCTCCTCTCTTTTCGATCTAATTTGACTCACATTTTCCTCTAATTTCTTGTCCAATGCATTCATTACTTTCGGTGAAGTTTTGTAACTCATTTAATCCCATCGATGGCTTCCCCGTTGTCCCAAAACACAACTGTATCATGCGGTCGGTGGCTTCCAGGTTGTCTCCAATCGCGACCTAAACGTCGTGATTCCTTCGTGGTCCTTGTGTTGCGCTGCGACGCTTCCAAGCTATCTCTAATCATGTCACAATGCTTCCCGGCTAGCTCTTATCGTGTCATCGCACCATATATTGTGTCACAATCCCGTTGATGCTTCCCAACTAACTCTTATCACGACTGTATCAAACGAAGGCAACACTTATATATCGTGATCCCGCCGGTGTTTGCATCCAAATCGATCAGATTAAGCGCACTTTATGTCACGATCCCTTTTCCTAATCGCAATCTGATCCCAAGGAGGCTTCCCAAGAGTGATCTGATCCCTCCGTTGGCTTCAAAAGCGCAATCCTTTCTTTGCTTCAATCGAAGACCCACAATTTCTAAAGCCTTGTGCACCGCGATCCTTCCACACATATTAGGGCAAAATGAGTTTATGCCCTATAATCGATAATTCTTCCTAGAAATGCTCTCATATCAATTTGATACGCATATAAATAAGGACAAAAAAAAAATATTTCTTCATTAACACAAAATAACACAACTCAAATACATAAAAATAAGCACTGATAATTCAAGAGGTAGGTAATCTCTCTGAACACCTACAATTTGACAAACATACGATCTCCCCCAAACCCTAAACCTAAATCTTCAAACCACAATCTCGTGCATGCCCTAACACTAACCTATTAAGATCTTTGTATACCAAATAATATAATTAACGAAAGATTAAATTGATTGTATGCTCCAGCGTAACAAGTTCTTTGCCTCAGTTATATGGGCGGAATTTGTTGTATTTTTGGGTCTCATATTTTATAGTTGCTAAATATTTAGTTGTTTGATTTTAAGAAAATTGATTTTTATCCTTATCATTTGAATATTTAATTTATATTTGGATTAGATGAATAACATGCAATTATATGTACTAGCCTAAGAGAGAAATTTATAAAAAAATATTTTGGGGCATGTAAACACCGACTTTTTTTAATAATATTGTCTTTTTTTCAATTTTCAATATGATATGAGCATTTTAGATATATGATTTTCAAGTGCAACTATTTGACTACGAGTGAATTTATCCCCATGTATTGACTTTAAGCCTTGGCTTTTCTTATCTTGATATTTTTTATAAGTAAACTTTAAGATTTCAAAATTTGGGATGCTTAGGAAGAAATGAATTCTGTGTGAGATAAAATAACAAGTACTATTAAAAAGGTGACAAAAAATGTACTTGGAAAATCAAAAAGAAAAATTTTTACAAATAGAAATAGTTGGTGATAGAATAATAATATGCAAGAGAAGATAAAATATAAGAAGTTGTGTTATAAAAATTGATTTAAATGTAAATGCTTAGAAAATTGAGAAAAATATAAGGCGGCCCAGGCTAAGAGAATAATTTGTAAAACTAAAATTCTGCTTTTAGTGATCTTTATAATACATTAGATACTAAAGAGAATGAAATAGAGATTTAATTCAAGTGTATTAGAGATGAAAATCAAGCTGTTTTTTTCTTCAAGGAATATATTCAACATAGATGAGTGAGCTACTTTAATAAATTTTTCAATGAAGTTTTTAAAAATATGATCGATCTTAGTGATTTTAATATCATTAATAATAATAAAATGTTTTAATTTTGCCTTCACATTAGTAAAAAGGAAGTTGACGAGACTTTAAAAAAAATCAAGGGTGGAAAATCAGCAGGACATGATGATATCTCAATTGAAGTGTGAAAATATTTGAAGATTTGAGAGTTTCTTGGCTTACTAAATTCTTTAATATTATTTTAAAAGCTAAAGAAACGCTTGAGAAGTGGGGGAAGAGTATTTTGGTCTCCATTTTTAAGAATAAAAGGGATGTACAAGATTGTGCAAATTATAGAGGAATTAAGTTGATATGTCGTACTTTAAAATTATGAGAAAAAGGTAATTGAACATAGGTTAAGACGTGATACAAATATTTCTCATAATCAGTTTAGATTTATGCCGGGCAGATCCACTATGGAATCTATTCATTTATTGAGAGGTTTGAGGGAGAAGTACAAAAAAAATAAGGAGGATCAACATATGTTTTTTTTAGATTTAGAGAAAGCTTACGATAAGGTTTCAACAGAAGATCTAGAGAAAAAAGGTGTTGATATGACTTATATTCAAGTCATTAAAATTATGTATACTAATGTTGTTACTTGTGTTCGAACAGAAGGAGCTCAATTGCATTTCATCAGGGATCGGTTTTAAGCCATAGCTTTTTGCTTTAGTTATGGATGATCTTACTGGACAATAACATAAGGATGTACCTCGATGTATTCTTTTCACTGATGATATCCTTCTTGTGGATAAGACTAAAGAGAGAGTTTAAGAAAAACTTGAATTATGGAGGTCTACATTGAAGTTTAACGACCTTCGTTTGATTAGATCTAAAACTGAATACATGGATTGTAATTTTAGTAGTAGTAGCTCTACCGGCAGAGTTTTAACTATGAGTGAACAAATCATTAAAATGTGTGATCGTTTTAGATATCTCGTGTCTATAGTTCCAGGTGAAGGTGATATAGATGAGAATGTTATCAATAGAATTCAAGTTGGTAAGAGAAGTATAAAACAAAGTTGTGTCACTGAGATGAGAATGCTTAGGTGGATGAGTGGCTTGACAACTAGAGACTAAATGCGAAATGGTAGGGTTGGCATAGCTCCAATGACACATAAGATTAGATAGAGTCGTTTTAAATGGTTTGGTAAAAAAAAACATCGACCATTTGATGATTTTGTCAGGAGAGTAGAAGTTTTAGATTCGACTTATGTTAAGAAAGACAAAGGTAGACCTAAAAAGATTTAGGCGCATTGCATAAAAAAAGATCTTAATTTATTAAAATTAAATGAAAATATGACACTAAATAGGACTTAATGGAGAAAAAGGATTCATGTAGCCAACCCCAATTAGTGGGATAAAAGCTTGTTGTTGTTGTTATTGTTCTTATTTCATCCAAATAATTTATTGACTTGTTATTTCACTTATTTTGTTTAAATTTGACAAGTTTATGAAAAGCAGATTGGAATTACTTGATGATTCGATATGGTTCAAAACTCCCTTTGACTTCATATTTCAAAAAATTAAGTTGTTAGATTAATTGATAAATTGTGAAAATTGAATCCTCAAGGTTCTCTTTCAAGAATTAATACCAACATCATACTAGTTTTGTTAGAAAACTCTAAATCTTAGTCGCTTGCATCACATCTCTCATTTCACCCATACTAGGTGATATTTGCACTTAGATGTGTCACGTCTCCAAATTTCAGTCTAGTAAACTTCAGAGTTCTTAATGTTTGCCCCATCACAATAAAACTAAGACTTATTCAAGCATATCACCAAAGATTCAAATCAATAAACGCAAGCATTAGGAGGATTCATGATAAAATTTTATGAAACGAAATAACAGCCCTTTAATACCTGCTCCTTTAATATTTAACTTAAAATCTATGTAACAATAATTAAATATCATGGAACTAAACACCATATAAATCTCTAGCATACCTGCTCCTTTAATATTTGATCCTTTAAAGGATGTATTTCCAGTAGCAAGTGCACCTTCAAGATTTGCATTACTTAGATTTGCCTGCATGAAGTTGGGCACCTGTTACGAGAATTCTAATATTTGAACCCATATATAACATTAATCATTAACTTTTTGAACATTCTAAAGGATCAAACCAGCCATAATATCATATCATATGTATGACAATCTATCATCACCCGCTTTTCATTCACTTTGATATTCTAGCTGCACTTGTAAGAACAACATATTACTTCTATCGCTAAATCTTTCCCGGTGTAGAGAAGAAAGATAAAGTCCACTTAAACTCTCTGGCAAGCTCATGTTTAAGAATTATTATTATGTAATTCTCAAAACAAAAATCAACCAATTATCATACATTCTTCTCTAAACTCCATACAAATACACATCCTTCCAAAAATTTCTCCAACATATAAAGCCTTTCTTGTATGTATCAAGATTGAGAACCATCAAAATACCACAAATGCTAACTGAGGTACAATAAAATAAGAATTAAAAGGATACCATAAAAAAAGAAAAGTGCACTGAAAAAAATTACACCAAGATCATATAACCTTCATTAACATTGCATTAATGAAAAACTATTAATAGTTAAAGTAAATGCTAATGATTTAATTGTTACAAATGAAAACAACAAAAATAATAAATTAGTTAAAAAAAACTTAACATAAAAAGGTTCGGTTGAGGAAAAAAATTTATCTCAATAAAATATGTTATATATCTTTGTAAAAAATAAAAGGGATTTTTACATACATAGTACTCAAAACTTTCAAATTTATGTATATCACAGCTAAACTTTGATATTTATGTAAAACACATTCCGTAATCACCGTTTTCTATGCCACTAATCTGACAAAGAGGAAGTCGGCCAAACCCAATGATCCGGCCTTCAGCCATCCAATCAGAAAACACTGTCAATCAAGAAGGACGAAAATCAGACAGCTAAATTAGGAGCTTACGTATTTAAATTTTTTCCAATGCCTTCATTATGATTTATTTTCCTTTTAGCTGAATATTTAGATTAGGAATATATATTATTAAGTTGCCTAAAATAGATTATATACTTTATTTTGTACCTAAGATAGATTGTAAGATTATTATTTAATAGAATGAAAACAAAGGGAAAAGACATCGGGTCTATTCAGGATTCAGCCTATTTTTCTAAAAACTTTGACATGGTATCAGAGCTAGAATCGGTGTGAATCCTTGGCATTCTTCAGCAGTAGCCCTAGCCGCGATCTTCTCGTCGCGATCTCTTCGACATCTTCGACATCTTCGACATCTTCGTTTGCATCTGCTTTGTTCGCCTGCGCAACTTCGCGTCTGCGCTTGCTTCTGCTACGTTCGCCTGCGTTCGTCTGCGTCTGCTTCTGCTTCGTTCAAGACATCTTCGACAACTTCGCTTGTCTGAGTCTGCTTCTGCTTCATTCACACAAAACTTTGCGTCGTCTCTATCTTAGTCGCGCCACTTCGCCACTTCATCGCGTTGTCTCTACCCTAGTTGCAACACTCCTCGTCAAGGGACATAGTCGCGATCTCCTCTATTCCCTTCGACTCTCCTCGTCAACCTGTGATCTCCTCGTCAAGAGACATAGCCGCGATCTCCACTCCTCCCCGCGTCTCTGCCCTAGCTGCGACTCTCCTCGTCAACCGTCGTCTCTGCCCTAGCTGCGACTCTCTTCCCGCTCCGACTCTCTTCCCTCGCACCGGCCTTAGAGCTCTAGTCCTCTCCTACCCGAAATCATTGAGGAATGTACCGAATATGTTTTAGCAACTGCTGATATTCACAAGAGGTGGACTCATCTTATGGAATTGCAAGGAACTTAGCAACGCCATCAGGGGATCTCCAATCATGCTTTCTTTTTAAGCTTTTTTCCACCTCTAGTAGCGGCGCTGATCTGGTATCTTCTTCTTGTTGTTCTCTACACTTCCCTTGAAGCACAAGGTGGAAAAGAAGAAGTATGTCTTGAAAAATATCAAACTTGATCGACAGACAGATAGATGCCGCAGGTCTGCTCGCCAAGAGATGGAACTTATTCTGAAGTACAAAATTCATTCATTGTGGAATACAAAGATTCTTGGGTTGAAAAAGGGTTGTTATGTATGTATTATTTTTCGTCTGATTCAGATCTTCTTCGCTAGACATCGCTGCTTCTGTGGCATCTTCGACTGCTTCTCACGCTTCACTTCGTCCGCTTAAGTTTCGGCTTCGTCACTCCTTATATCGATGGCTTCGGCTTTGGCAAACCATAGATCTTAAGTTTTGGCATTCACGGCTTCGACACTCCTTGGGCTTCGGCACTCTCGTGCTTTGACACTCTCCGGTTTCAGCACTCTCAAGCTTCGTCACTCTTAGGCTTCGACACTCGTGGGCTTCGACGCTCTCGGGGATTCGACACTCTCGGGCTTCGGCACTCTCGGGCTAGGTTTCGACACTCTCAGGCTTCAACACTTACAGCTTGAGGATGTTTAGTCCTGATAATGTTATCAGCTTCTTGTTGGCAAATTGATGATTCTTGATCAGTCAGCATCAATTTGAGGGGGGATGTCAATCAGGAAAAACGGAAATTAGACAGCTAAATTAGGAGTTTTCTATAATTAGGAGATTCCTTATTTAAATAATTTTCAATGTCTTTATTATGATTTATTTCACTTTTAGCTGAATATTTAGATTAGGAATATATATTATTAATTTACCTAACATTGATTATGCACTTTATTTTGTACCTAAAATAGATTGTAAGATTATTATTTAATATTATTATTTAATGAAGATTATTATTTAATGGAATAAAAGCAAAGGGAAAAGACATCGAGCCTATTTAGAATTCAACCTATTTTTCTCAAAACTTTGATAAACATGAGGTGTTAGCTGGAGTTGATGGTGGGGGAGGTGGCGGGAGTTTTGCTGCAGTGGGGAGTTTGAGACGCTGGCAGGGAGGCAGCGACATGTAGGAGTTCGAGATTCGTAGTTACGCTTATGACAATGCCAGGTCGATTTTCATCTTCGATTTTCATCTGTGAAGACTTCGATGAGAATATAGTTACTTTCTGTTCGCAGGGAAATCCAAGGTGTTTTGTAGCTATTATTTTATCTACTTAAGCAAATCATTCACTCGGTCTTTATTGTTTGTATTTGGCCAGAGAAAAGTCGTCGTCAACTTGTTTGGCCAACCTCCCCGCTAGCGTCTTAAACTCGGTCTTTATTGTTTGTATTTGGCCAAAGAAACGTCGTCGTCAGCTTGTTTGGCCAACCTCTCCACCAGCGTCTCAAACTCCCTACTACAGAAAAACTCCTCCCCACCAGACGCCTCGCACGCTCTCCTACATGCCGCCACCTCCCCCACCATCAACTTCGACTGACATCTCGTGGTTTTCGATTGGATGGCTGGAGGCCGAATTGTTGGGTTCGGCCAACTTCCTCTTTGTCGAATCAGCAACAAAGAAAACGACAGTTACGGAATGTGCTTTATATGTAAATATCAAAGTTTAGGTGTGATATACCTAAATTCAAAAGTTTTGAGTGTTATGTATGTAAAACCCCCAAAATAAAAAATGATTGCAAGCTATTGAAACTCCAAATAAACTTGGTTAGAAATTGGATACGTGGTGAAGAAGGAATAGAGGTTGAAATTGGACGACAACAAATATTAGTTAGAAAATAAATTTATCTCACACCCGACAAAACACAATTTTTGATAGAAGTCTTTTAAGTCAATTTACACACAAACCAAATGAATCTTACCTTTGAGCAATTTACACAATTATTAAATAACTAAAATTAAATCTCAAAAAAAGGAATTCTGAAGAAAAATATAAAATCGTACAAATAAAAGTATTATTGATGCTAATTATGAAGAATCCCTAGTAGATAGAAGATTAACTTCAAGATATTGCACACTAATGAGATACAATTTGGTGACATGAAGATGCAAGAAATAACCTATAGTTTCAAGGTAAAGTGGTAAATCAAAATTTAAAGCAAGTATCTTTGAACACTTAATAGACTAAAATTATTCTAAAATATTTAAAACTTAATTAGAGGAAAAAGACCGATGAGAATAAATTGTGATAATAAATCTGCCATCAATATTGCGCGTAATCTAGTACATTATGGTTGAACCAAATATAAGGAGATGGATAAGCATTTCATAAGAAAGAAACCAGACAGTGGGTTAATTTGCACTCTATAAATTTTAATGGGAACTAGGTTAAACGACATATTTATCAAAGGATTTTGTAACCTTGCATTCAAATTTATCTTAAACAAATTTAAATAATACACCACTACAAACCATTTTGAAGGAAAGCATTGAAAATATCATGTTTACTAAAAAGGGATGAAAAGGGTTACAAATTCATGTGTTTAATAAGGAAAAATATGTGCCACAAATTCATGCAATAAACATATAAATAGGACTACCATTTATTTATATACTTAACATGAAAAATGAATGTCATTGATTGTTTCATCCTCCCCAGAGGCGAGAGAAAGTTTGGGAAGATAGATTTAATTTTTAAATTCATTGTAATTAATAATTTTTAAATATTTTCTAAGTAATTTTGCGTATAAATATCAATTTTGGAGATGAACAAAATAGGATTTCTAGCTACTTCTTCTATATAGTTTTATACCTTCATAATTAAAAAGATTCAATTTATTAATTCCTTCTTTTCTTACTTGTCTTATAAGACGGTATAAACGTACCAAGTTTCAATAAATAATATATAATAATTCTCTCTTCAAACATGGTATTGGAGCAACAAAATGCTAGCCACTTTACTCATCTTATTTGATTCCATACCAATTTTGTAAGCCCTCATCCTAATACAACCCATAATTATTTTGCAAATTGCGCGTACATTGATGCCACACAAATGCTTTTTAATCACCTATATGCTCACCTGCTTGCACATGGGCTAGTTGCGCCTATTATATTGTTCTTGTGCATCGTTACTTCGTGTGTATCACCACTACACATTGCGCATCCTTCTTACTCCCGACCGCACATTGCAATTCACTTGCCTACAATGTGCTTCTCATACCTCCTCTTTGACAT